TCTTTTCCAACCTAGGCGATTCTATGATTCTATGATTCTATGACTGACTTAAGAAAAAAACACTGAGACTCTGTCAAAATCTCTGTTGGACCTGTTCAGAAAGCTGCAGCAGGAAAAACAAAGAAAGAGCAGGCTGTTGCTTTCAGGAGATTAAGTCAACATACACCGTACTGACTTCTACAGTAGCTACCCTCCTTGGCTTCTATTACACTTTGGATCTGGACCCTTGGTTGAAGGGTTGAAGCAGTTGAAACACTGCTTTAGCTATGGAGAATGCCTGTTGATATATATAGCGAATAGACTGTTTGCCCTCCTTTGTAAGTGTTGCCGCTGTACGTTGGGCTGACTCAAATGTTCACGGTCTCTCTGAGCTTTTGCCACATGGAGCTGGAATGGATCCTAAAGTATGTTTCTAACTATTTTTCCTCACATAGCCATATGAACACAATGGATAATCTGAAATTGCTGCTGAGCCACCATCCACTTCACTGCAGGCAAAGAATCCCCTTTTTTCTATTTTCCCCAAAACAGTGAAGCTCCCAACAAGAGAGGTAGCTGCAGTTCAGAATCTGCCTCTTTCCACTACCATTAATGATTCTGGCTTTCACAAAGTTCTCATTTCCAAATGAACTAGCATCAGTGAACACTTATATCAATCCCTTAAAAGGGGATTTGAATGGAGAAAAAGATGAAACCACTGATACCATCACTCAAGTCAAATGAGGAGTCACCTGTTTCTGTGTGGGCAAAACAGACCATCCACTATAGACCTGCAGTACTCTATTGGCCTGCCCTTTGCTTACTCTTAAGGTTACCATGGCTGCTGGCTTCTCACTGAAGGCATCTTGCCCATTAAAATAGCATCTCCTTGGTTAAAGAATGGACAAATGGACCAATACCTCTGGGCAGTTATTAATTATTATGAACTTACGCATCCACATAGGTAAATGCCTACGAAGGGCCACTCAAGATGTAAAAGCTTACTTGGAGTATCAGAGGAGAATACTCCTTCAGCATACTCAACAGGGATAATGCCACATTATTAGCTTAATTAAATCACTGTATAACCTTAGTCAGAAATTGAACTGACTTTAAAAAAATCGTGGGGAAACTGTCAGATGCTACTTTTAAGGTCCAGATGTCTACTAGGAAAATGAAATTGATAAGGCATACTGTGCCCTGTAATTTTAAGACAGTCAGACATTGCAGAAACTGAAATCTATTGATCATGCAGGATAGATGGACTGCTTAAAAGAAAATCTGGACTGCAGAAATTATTGGTTAAATTCTCTTACGTGTTTTAAGAAGGAGGTATTATAGCTGATAGTCCTTGTATAAATATACTGATGCTGATCCAGAACTGACTTTAAACTGTGAGGACTTTCAAATGTCTCCTGTGAAATTATCTGCACAGTACCTGATGAACAGGTGCTCAAATATTTGGAGCCACTGGAGGCAACATTGTATTGATGAGCAATCAATATTTATCTTCAGGGTCTAATAAAACAACAAGAAGGCAGAGGATGTCAGACATTAACTGCACTAGTGCTACTTGCATTATCCTGTCAAAATATAGACAGAAATATGGATACTGAATACCAGGAAAGAAAAGGAAAAACAGATTCTAAATTATTGCAAAGTCAGGAACACAGAATTATGTAGTCCAAAACTTCTGTGGAAGAGCATTATTCTTCCCATCTGGTGTCAAAAGGTAGAGTTATTTTTCTTTCTGCACATAGAAACACTCTGCTATGAGTCACCTTAGTCCCAAACTGAGTTGGATTAATTGGAGAAAATACAGCATTAATATTTTTCTTAACATTTACCAACAGTAGTTTGAAAAGATCAGATAGTAAATGCCACAGAAATTACTAGACCTTGTGTAGAAGAAATACATTCCTCAACCTAGGGTTGTTTACTTCAAAAGTAGGCACCCTGCATTAGTTTTTACTGTTCCGCCTGTAGTACTAACAAATCAGATCAGGTTCATGCGTGTCTTAGTCATATCAAATCTTTTCCTCCGGGATATGTATGAATTCCCTCACTCAAAAAACCAAAACCAACCCAACCTGGCCTTAATTTAGTCCATCCTTTATACTGATCAGATCATTTCTTATAACCATAGGATTCAGGATGTAGTAAAGCTTTCAATTTGCAGCTTAGCTCTCAGGAAAAGGAAAACCCCAGGAGAAATACTGGAGAACTAGATTAGCAAATGGCCTTTTTTGGTTCTAGAATACGCATCTGGAACAGATGGAGGTGAAACAAAATAAAAGTGATATGGCCAATGTCCAAGAGAAAGTGGCTAACAGGGTGGCAAGCTGAGTGGTCACAGACTTAGCAATATTCTTTTGGAACGACAAATTCACAGTATTTAACATACTTGCCACTGGTAAATGATTTAACGAAAACCAGAATAAAATTAATCAGGTAAGCCAAGATGAAAACTATCTGAGCAAAGGAGCTGTTTGTTTCTCCCATCATGAATACTGCTGGACTATGTCTCAAACTCCCTCAGAGTTAGAAATAAGGAAAATCCCTTTATCTTTTTGATTAAAAAGCACAGTTGTAACTTGGTATTACCTTGCCTATGCATGTGACATCAGGTAAGAGAAAATCATATTCAATGCGTTCCATTGTTTTAAGGAAAAATTTAAAATGTAGGACCATTTTACTTCATCCAAACTATGTAATAAATACTTCTTTCACTGATGTTTTGCAGTGGCAAATAATTTGTTTCTTTCTTTTGTATACCTCTGCCATTGTTTAATCCTAATATCAATGTGCTCATGAATTTACCAATCAGTTACTCTGTAAGTCACCTGGAAGATGACATCCACTGTGCTCACATTTATGTTCTTTCTCTTGTAGTTTACTGGAGATTCAGCTCCTCAGAATGCTGAAGATTGACTGTTGGGAGTAACCCAACAATAAGGGAGTACCAGGCAGTGTATTTGTTGCCATAATGAGATTGAGATTCCGGTCCTGGTAAGCAGACAGCTGAATGACTCAGCCATTTATGAAATGAAGATGGAGAAATGGAGGTGCCTGGAGAAAAAAATTACTTATTATGGATAGCAGTTGGTATGACATGGTTATGAATCATGAAGAAAGTAGTTGCTTTAGAAAGAGCTGAAAGAAGACTATGCAACATTTCAGAACTACCAGAGGACAGGTGCCTTTGCATTGAGTCTTAGAAATACAGCAATCATGATTTCCAAAAACTGGTCAAAAGTGATTCCTGCCTTCAAAATTCTTATCCCCAAAGGAGACCAAAGTTACAAACTCTACTATGTAGGAAAGATTTCTACCACATAGAATTATTTTTTTAAGTGTGTAAGAGATTTGGTCACCTCCTTTATTCAGACAATGAAATTTACGCTACATTTCCTTGGTTGAAATTTAGATTGAAATCCTTGGTAATTGCTAAAGGACCTGTAGGAATTACCATAATGACAGTGTCTGTGTCGGAGGTAACAAATGCACTACAAAGCGTGTTCTGTCGTTGGACCATGGAACCAAGCACCAGCATTACTGTCTGTTGAGAAGACTGGAGATAATTTTTAATACCCTTATGCTATCATTGTACAAAAGGGAAAAAAGGCAAGGAAGAATCTTTAAATAAATATACTATTTTTTTTACTTGGAATTCTTAAGCAAAACAAGTAATTTGGTTTACTTGAAAACCATAGTATAAATAAATATATTAAGAGAGAGCCAATAGACCTTTAAGACAAGTAAGCTTCAGCTTGTGTTTTGACACTAGTTCGTTGAGGGAATGTTAATGAGAAAAAAAATAGCAGGGAGAACTGTCAGACATGACCAACAACTAAAGTGAGAGATGAGCTAGGATCCTACAGGAGCACAAATGAGAAAGGGATAGATTTCAGATAACAAAAAAAGCGATAGCTAAATGCTTTAACAGGGTATGATAATTTTATATTAATAATAGTAATAGAAGAGCTTTTCTCTGAAACCTCATTCAGTTAGCCCTGAACTGATGGTCATGAGGAGATTCCCACTGTGGATATCATGAGATCTTCTTAAAGAATTTTGTTGAAAGGTTGGTAAGTTAGGCAGGATTTCTTTTCCCATGGACTGGTCCCATGGACAAAAAATAAAGACACATTAAGTCAAGAAGTTTTAAACCTTGTTAAGTTACTTTCATTTATATTTCATAACTAATATCATTTGTATGTATTCAGTTATGAATACATTGTGAATTACAGGGATTTTATTATTCTTTGTTTACATGTTATGCTACGTAAGTAGGATTGTAAGTGATGTTCTTTCCAGTTTATTGTTGGCAATAATCTAATTTCTCTGAGGATGTTTGTGGAAGCATCGTGGTTCCCAGCTTGTGTCTTTTGGTCAGTGTTTGCATTCCCTCTGTATAACCTTTACAAAACTCTGTACAAACTCCGTAAAATTTTTTTCTTCATACTCTTCACATTCTTTGCATTTTGCTGATGTTGTGGAATTCAACTGAAAAAGAAAAAGCAATAGTAAAGCAGGATACCAATCTGTTTGTTCTGATAGAGAACTAACCCTTGTTTGTCCTGTTTTTGTGAAAAATTCCAATGCAGTCAATGGCTACAGAAAGCGTTGCTGGAGGCTTTCATGGTACTTATGTTCGCTGCAGCTCCTGGCTTGCTTTCTGAGTAGGATCAGCTTTCAAAGATACAGCACTTCAGTGAGAGATGCAAGCAGCTGTCCCTTTGAAAATGAGGATACTTTTCTGTATGTGTCTGAGCATACCTGACTTCAGATACTGAAGTTACAAACTGTTATTCATACATACACATTCAAACACCCTGTCATATATATGCATGCACAGTCAAAAGTATCTGCTTTGATGGGAATCCTGAAAGTGTTTTTCTAAAATCCACTAAATTCTGCTTTTTCATCATTGTATGTGTAGCTTTTTCATTGTTATATGTACAGGTTACTGGATCCCAGTTGCTTTCATCTGTACCATCCCATCTTTTATATTACAAAAGAGGTATTTCTGTTACTGAAGAAATTTTTTTGATTTGCCTTTTCCACAGACTGTTGGTGTTACTTACCTTGTTATTTTCCAAGCTTGCATTTCCATTTTTCCATATGTTCAATACATCCTGTGTTTTACTACAATTTTTGATAAGACATTCTTGAAGAATTACTTTTGTCTCTAAGAAAAAGCATCTCATAACAGGTTCTTGGCATTCTTTCTGAAAAAATGAAGTTGTAATAGTTTTACAATTAAAAAGGAATAATTGAAAGTAAGATACAATTTACCATGAAGTGGCTGATTTTTATTCACTGGATATCTCTTCTTACTATTCAAATACTTTTAAATATCTGCAAAGATTGGCTGTGAGAGCTAACAACATAAAGGCCAGCCAATTTGCTGAGACGAGGTGAAACATAGTGTCTTGATGAACATAGAAAAATAATTAATTGGGATAGGAATTTGGGATCTAATTAAACATAGTGGAATTAAATTATTATTAGTAGTAGTAGTTCTAGCACTTTCATTCAGAGATCTAAATTCAGAGTAGGTAGGGGAGAAGAGAAAGTAGATATGACCTGTATTTCACAAATTAAAGAAAAAGAAGCAGAGGTACCGATTTCTCCATCACATCAACAATAAAGCCAAGAATAAGTCACAGGTTGTCTGACTTTCATATCAGACTGTCAAACTTTAAGAAAATCTTCTTGATGTTACCAGCTATCAAATCAGCCATTACAATGGATTAACCTCTCTGGCTCGGTTCAGTTAAGATAACGGCAAAAGCAGAGCAATGCACAGGTAGATGCTGACAGTTACTCTCCATATTCCATTTCTCCAGTATTTTATTTGATTAAATAGTACATGGTGTTAAATAATAATATTTGGAAGTATCTCCTTTGTCACTTTTTTTCTCCTTCAAGTTACAAACGAATACCAGCACTATTTTAGCAGTGTTTGCTTTGATAAGATCATTTTGGATCATCCCTTTTAATTGATTAATTTTAATAGCAGTTGATTCAGTAAAAATAATTAAGACCTGCTTACATAATTTATCATAAGTACTTGAACTAATAGAACTGTTCCTGCCAAGGCTTATTTGATTTCTGAAACTTTTCTCAAATTAGACCAAGGCTATCTTATGAGAAAGTTGCTAGTAAAGAAACGAAGCTGCCATATTAGACCAGTTGTGGTCAAATTCTGAGTTTACTTACATCCTCATCTGTGCTTGCAGTATATAAACTGACATCAATGTCCTAAAAGAAAACAAGAGTTAGAATTATGAACATTAACTACCAGATTTAGAGATAATCCATGTCTTGCAGAGTTAGCTTTATTATCTCCAAGTTCAAAGGCCCAAACCATCCAGGTACTGGGAGCCAGCAAGTCAGGTGATCTTAAAGTCACCTAGTAACCTGCAGGATGGGCTTCACTGTGAGGAGGACTCATCAGAATCGAGCCCCACAATAATTTATCCGAAGGAGCTAACTCCCAAGTCCACTGCCCCTTTTCTTAGAAAAAGTGAGAAAGAAAATAATATTTAATTCTAGAGTCCACAGTATCTGGTCAACTCCAATTCCCTTTAACCTTCTATTCCTTTGCTTCCACCCATGAAACAGCATTATACAAACACCATCCCTCTTCCTGCTCCCTGTCACTGACGCTTCTTAGCTGAGTACAGTGCTAAATAATTAATTATGTCTGGTGCTATGATTGTATGAAATGCTGACTTTTTTATGAACTTACTTTGGATGTCTTGATCTGCTCCAAATCTTTCAGAACATGCGCCCACTTGCAATGACCTGCTGCTGTCTTTAGTACATAAGCACTAGAACAGAAGAAAACCAGTGACCATTAGGCTAAACAGTAGGTATACACAATGTTTATGCTGAAAAGAGAGTCAGAGATTATTAAGATACTATAGATACATTGTTTACATTTATAAATACATATGATAAATGTGTGGGGCAAGCATATTTGACAAATCATATAGATACATTAAGACTGTATCTCAGAGTCACACACTGTATAAACAGTCATTGTGTTTTTTAAAAAGGCCCGTTTTATAGAATGTAATGCAAGAGAAAGGTTCAAGTACTTGATGTAAAATACCTACAATTCTTTCAAAGTATTCTTTCAAAAAAAAAAAATCACAAATTTCAAAGTCTCTTATATTGAAAATTTGCCCCCCTGCTACTATGGAATTTCTACCTTAAGCCCCGTAGAAATACTGTCTTTCATTTTAGATGTAATTTTTTGTGTACAGGAAAGCTTACTCCTGCTGTGCATAAGGTATTGCTCAAAGTGAATCACTAAAGGGTGGAAGGAAGATTTCTTTCTCCTTGGAAGATTTTTGGAATGCGAATTGCAGTTTTAATGTGTCCCCACTTGGATCCTTGATTTGGATGCCTTTCAGGACTGCCGTACTAAA